AGGAGGAGTGTAGACTCGAGGAACAGGGACATTGGGAAAGAAAAGGGAAAGGAAGAAGAGAAAAGGAGGAGTGTAGAAATGAAAATCAAAGAGAAAGGGAAGGAAGAAGAAAAAAGGAAAAGTGTAGATGTGAAAATGAAGGAGAATGGGAAAGACAAAGGGAAAGAAGAAAAAAATAAAAATGACCTGAAAAACAAGGAGAATGAGAAAGAGACGGAAGTCAAGGAGGAAGAGACGGAAGTCAAGGAGGAAGAGCCGGAGAAAGAGAAGGAACAGGTCACAGAAGAGGTCAAGGAAAGCAGCAGCACAGAAATGGTCAAGGAAAGAAGCAGCGCAGAACCGGTCAAGGGAAGCAGCAGCACAGAAATGGTCAAGGAAAGCATCAGCGCAGAACCGGTCAAGGAAAGCAGCACAGAACTGGTTAAGCGAAGAAGCAGCGCAGAAATGGTCAAGGAGAGCAGCAGCACGTCGATTAGAACCCTGTACCTGCCGCCGGTAAGGGACTTGGGACCCTCGCCTCCGAGGCCAGGCCGGTATAGACATCCAGACAGACCCACTGGGCTCTGTTACGTCAAGGCCGAAGTACGCAGAGACCCGGTCTTGTCGGAGAGCTGCTGTCTATGGATGGGGGGGATGTGCCAAGGTTCGAACGCCACCCTCCCGCCCCCAACTTCACCCCTGGTCTAGGGTCCAGAGACTAGGGATCTTAATTGGTCCTGGTGGAAGGCAGGGGCCGGCTCCTGTCTCCGTCCCGCGCTTCACACCAGCTTACGGTCTACATAATGCGGAAACCAGTACCCGAACCCTCCTTCCTCGAACTTGCGGTGAATATATTCTTTGAGACAGGGTTCGTGTATACAGTGTTAACGATGAATACATGATGTGTTTGGGGGCTCCCTGGCTCTTTTCTGTGGGCGCTGTAGTTACATGTAGTTTTCAGAAACGACAGCAGTAGAAGGAGGGCCGCCGCAGACTTGTCTCAGAACCCCAGGCATTGTTTAGGTCAGCAACAACTGTATCGCTTAGCACTCCCAGTTCTTGGCTGGTTCCTTGGCTCAGAGCCGCTTTCTGGTTCTGAACTGTTTGGATTATTAACAAAGACTTGATCCATGTAAAACACAGACTGACTCCACAGATAATGGAAGAAGAAATAACTATTAACAAAGAACAGTGATGCTCAGAATTAGATTTGAGGATTTACCTAGCAGCGTGGCTTCCCCGGGGCTTCTCCTTTGCATTCCGGCTATTCCGGAAATAGCCAGCCCCTGCTATTTCCCCCAAAGGTAGAAAATGCATAGTTACTGGTAGTTGTGGACTGGGTTCATGATCTCCCGGAGAGAGGAAATTGGATTTGCATCTAAACTCTTGATTTACAGTAGTTTGAGCTTTCTCTAGACATAAACACGAAGAACCCTGTGGCTCAGCTTGGTTTTTAGAGCTGGCTTTAGAACCTAGAGCTTCAGCGATGAACTCTACCACCGAGCTACACCACCTCAGCCCAAAGCCTGTTTTGTAGACTAACAATGTAAGCAGAATGTAAGCCATGAGTGAGTGTAGAGTTTCTGGGAAGAAGACAGGTCTGGAGTGGGGAGGGTTGGAGGCGACAGTTTTTAACACATTATTTTATAAGACTTTGGATGCCATTACTTTAGGTATCACCAAGGGAAAAAAAATGCTGTCAATCAAACCGGCATAAAATACATGCTAATTTTAGTGATGGTGGGGGTTTTCCTAGAATTAATGAAGTGTATGTTGGGGTAGGGCTCAAAGTGGAAATCGTAGGGGGACACAACCCGCACCCAGCAACCGTTTCTTGGTGCGTCTGTAAGTGTGCAGTTTTAAATTTTTTCAGTGTTGTGTTTCTTACCCTGGTGTGTTCTCAAAATGGCACTGTAACACTTAGAATGGGAAAGGAGGTCAGGGCAGGGGGATGAAATATTCGTCAGAATACCAGTTCCTTAGGGCTGGGCAGTTGGTGAAGCACATTGGCTCAAGCAGGAGGGCCTGAGTTTGTATCCCCAGCATCCGTGTAAAACTTAAGTGTCAACCTCTTAAGTCCCTGTTTAAGCCATACCTTAAAACCCCTTCCTCTTGCACAGATTTTTGTTTTCTTTTACTAAATGAGAGTGTTTTCCTTCCAGTATTAGAGAGATTAAGGCCACTCTGGGCTATGAAGTAAGACTCGAGGAAAAAAAAAATCAACAAACAAAAGAGATGGTGTAGAGAGCCCAGTGCTTTATCACCTTTCGGGCCAGATGTGGTGGTACCCATCTTTAATCCTCAGAGGCAGAGGCAGAGGCAGAGGCAGGGAGATCTGTGAGTTCCGGGCCAGGCCAGGTCTACAGAGGGAACTCTGACTCAAGTAGAAGAACGTGAAGATCGTTTTCTGGCTGTGGATAGAACAGTTGCCTAGCTTCTGTCCGCAGCACTGTGATCAATCAATCCATGATACTTTCTAGTGTTCGAATAGAGTAAGCAGAGCTGGGCATGGTGGCACCAACACTTGGGAGGCAGAGGCAAGGGCATGTCTTTGATTGAGTTCCAAGAACAGCCAGGGATACATACAGAGAAAATTCTGTCTCCAGAAGCGAAACAAACAAACAAAACAGATCTGTAGATAGAGGAAGCAGATCTGTATGTTATTTTTAGGAGCAGTGCCCCTGAAGATAATTGCTATCAGTTTGTTTTTTGGTTTTTTTTTTTTTTTTTTTTTTTATTGTTTGCCCTATAGAAGCCACCCTAAACTGTTCCTGTATTCATGCTCACCCTCCTCTCTGATCATTTAGCTTTTGCTTATATGTGTGTTTTGTGTTTGTTTTTCAAAACAGGTCTAGCTGTGTAGGTAGAACAAACTAGCCTTGAACTCACAGAGCTGGGTGTCAGGGAGTGGGGAGGCTGGGGGAGGGTAGCACAGGCCTTTAATCCCAACATTCGGGGAGGCTGAGGCAAGCAGATCTCTGTGAGTTTGAGACCAGCCAGGTCTACAAAGTGAGTTCCAGGAGAGCCAGAGACAGGGTTTCTCAGAAACAAACAAACAAAAACAAAACAACAGAAACCATGAGGGAGGGACCTGGTCCTAATATTTTGTAGCCAAATTATTCAGCTGCTAAGGCTTGACAAATGATGAGACTTAAATGCTTCCATGTTGGGTGGAACAGCCCATACCACAGACAAACCACTCTAGTGCAGTTGCCAATAGATAAGAATTCAAGAAGTGACATGGGGTGCTAAGATGGCTTAGCAAGTAGAGACATTTGCTTTAGGGCCCGACAACCTGAATTTGATCCCCAGAATGCACATGGTAGAAGGAGAAAAACAACTCCTGTGAGTTGCCCTCTGATCCCCATATGTCCTGGGATCCATAAATCCTACTGCACAGCACATAAATTCTAAGGGGTGTGTGTGTGTGTGTGTGTGTATGTATGCATATATTTGTCGTTTGATAGACTAACAAAGAATTGGACAGTAGAAAGGGGACATGAGTGTAGTGTCACAGAAGTAGTGATAGCTTGGGTTTAGACTGGTTAACAATTCCACGGTTACAGTCAGGTACACCGTCAGGAGCCAGCCAAACACAGCCTCGATAGCGAGAGTTCACTGATTCATCTTTCATTTCACAGGAGACAAATAAGCAGATCCTAGTCCTAGGCCTGGATGGAGCAGGAAAGACCAGTGTCCTCCACCTGTTGGCTTCCAACAGAGTCCAGCCCAGCGTGGCACCAACCCAAGGTTTCAATACAGTTTGCATCAGCACAGAAGACAAGCAGATGGAGTTCCTAGAGAGTAAGTTCTGTTTCTCATTAACACACGACTTAAGCCGCAAGCTGTGTTCTCTATCGACTTTGTGAACTTGCCCGAAGTGACACTGGATGGGGTTCTTTCTCCACTTTAGGATGATGTGTAACTCAGGTGTGTAGGGTGGTGTGGGGGAGGGGCGGGGTCCACTTTGCTGATCCAGTTTTCTCCTTTTTTTTTTTTTTTTTTTTTCAGTGCTGGCAACAAAGGGGGCTTAGAGGGAGGCTTTAGTACATCCTCCTGTGACCATCCCTTCCCTCCCCTCTCCCCTCACTGCTGTGGACACACAGCAAACCTAAGCAACTAAAGTGCATGTCTTTCTCAACATGAAATTGGAGGCAGTCCCAAACAACTTCTGGCCAGCTGGCAGTCCCAGTGTGGCAATACTGTCCCCACCTCACTAATAACCCAGTTCACAAAGTCCAGTCACGACTCCTTGCCTTCCCTTTCCACCTCAACCCTCCATCACACTTCACTTGTCCTCATGTCCCTAAAATACCACCTAGAGACACTCAGGTTTATCTAAACAGCCCAAGCATGTCCAGATGGCTTCAAACACCTCTTCCTTGGTGGACATGCTTGTGAATTCAATTGTGACTTCTTCCTCTCCCATCCTCTGCAGTTGGTGGGAGTGAGCCTTTCCGCTCCTACTGGGATTCCTACCTGCCCACGGGATGGCTGCTGATCTTTGTGGTGGATTCAGCGGATCACAAACGATTACCGGAAGCCAAGAAGTGCCTTCATCAGCTAATGGAACAAAATCCAGCGCTCCCTCTGGTTGTGTTTGCCAACAAACAGGTAACAGTCTGTGCATATCTGGCTTTGTGGATCCGTGGTAGAGCGCTTTGCCTAGCTTTCAGGATTGCCCCCCCAAAACTATGTTAATGTAACCTTCACTCAATAGTTACTAACACAGAAATGTCTGGTTTTAATAGGTAGATATTCAACAATATACTGTGTATTCAATTTATTAGGTCTCTTAGATTACTTTTTAAAAAATATTTATGTATTTATTATATATATAATATTCTGCCTGCATGTACACCTGCAAGCCAGAAGAGGGCACCAGATCTCATTATAGATGGTTATGAGCCACCATGTGGTTGCTGGGAATTGAACTCAGGAGCTCTGAAGAGCAGCCAGTGTTCTTAACCTCTGAGCCATCTCTCCAGCCTACCCTCCACCCACCCACCCCACCCCACACCCGCCTATAAACTTTGTGTGTGGGTGTGTGTGTGTGTGTGTGTGTGTGTTTGTTTTTGTGTTTGTTTGTTTTTAATGTGCATTGGTGTTTTGCCTGAATGTATGTCTGTAGGAAGGTGTCAGGTCTTGGAGTTATAGAAAGTTGTGAGCTGTCTTGTGGGTGCTGGGAATTGAATCCAGGTCCTCCAGAAGAACAGTCAGTGCTCTTAACCCCTGAGCCATCTCTCCAGGCCCCAATTAGACAGTCTTTCAATGGAAAGGCAATTTCTTCACTTTGTGTCCTTGAAGTCCTTTTGTCGCCTAGGGTGTTACCTCATGGAGGAAAGGAAGGAACTGAACCATGTGTGATGAGCTTATTTCAACAAACAGATAGAGCTTCAGTTTGGCAAGCTGAAGACTTTAGGGGAATTGCTGATAAGTGATAGTTTACAACACTGTGAGTGTATTTAATTCTAGTGAATTCTATACTAAAATGATAATTTTTTTATGTATACTACTATCACTGCTACTGCACACACACACACACACACACACACACACAAACACACACACACCCTTTAGATAACCAAAAAGTGTAACTAAATCTCTTCTCTCAAGGTTAGGTTTGCGAATGGAGAAGAGCTCAGTGCCTGCCTTTCCCTTACGTCTTCTGTGGGTGGGATGTTCACAGAAGCCAAATAAGTAATTATGATTGATGTGCTCATACTTTAGCAGGAACTTAGGTTGACATCCAGGATGGAGGCTGGCCGAGCACATTTTGACATTCTGCTGGCATTTCTTAAAAGGTTGATTTTTTTGTTTTAAGTAGAGTATCTTAAACCTACAGACACTCAGGGGCCTGGAAGATGTAGCTCAATGATAGTAAGAAGTCCTGGGTTAGCATGTAGGAGGTCCTGGGTTCAATCCCCAGCAGGTGGGGAGGGAACTGCAGAGATTTAGATTCAGGTCCTACAGTTGAGCTGTGTAGCATTCTGATGAAGGCACTGTAACTGGGCCATTCTCTTCTGGCTGGCTGTTTTCATTATTCCCAGTTGTTTACTGTCACAGGGTTGCTGTGAGCTTTCAGGTGTGTGTGCCTGTGCACGTGTGGATACACATTTCTCAAGTGTGGGTACCTAGAAGTGCTGGTTTGTTGGATTTACGGATAGCTTTATTAGATATTCCTAAATTGTTTTCCAAAGTTGCACTAGTTTATTCTTCCACCAGGAGACAAGTAGTTCCATATTTTCATACTTCTTGTTGTAACTGTTCTTTTTCGCTGTTGTGATGAAGCTAAATCATCCTTACTTGTTTTTTGGTTTTGTTTTTGTTTTTTTCTGGTTGAGCTCTACATCCGTGGATTTCCTAATTCCTCTTATTATGTCACCTCTGATTCTTCCTAAGATGCTTTGAGGTAGTAGTGCTGGGAATCAAACCCAAAGTTTTTCATACAGTAAGCATACTGCTTACCACTGAGCTGGGCCTGAAGCCTCTCCCTTTCCTTAGAGACGTAGGGGTGCTTGACATCTTTGGCACAAAATTCCTTTGTTGGTTATGTGTGTCACTAACATTTTCCCAGTATCTCAGTAAGTTATCATTTTGCTTTCCTTATGGTTTCTATTTTTATATTGAAGAGTCCACACACACCTCACCCCTTTTTGAGACAGGGTCTCTCTACATAGGTCTGACCGTCCTAGGACTCACGATGGAGACCAGGCAGGCCTTGAACTCAAAGAGAGCTGCCTGCCTCTGCCTTCTAAATGCTGGGATTAAAGGCATGTGCCACATTGCCTGACAGAGATTCCCATTTAAAACATATTTTATTTAATTTGTGTGGGGTATGTGCATGTAAGTGCAGAGGCCAGAAGAGGGCATCATTCCATGAATCTAAAGTTGTAGTTCTGAGTCCTGTGATATAGGTGCTGGAAACCAAACTCAGGTCTTCTGGAAGTGTAGCACGAGATCTTAATTACTGAACTCTCTCTCCAGCCTGAGATTTTACTTTTGTTTTCCCAGACAAGGTTTCTCTGTATAGCCCTGGCTGTCCTGGAACTCGCTCTGTAGACCAGGCTGGTCTCAAACTAGAGATCTGTCTGCCTCTTCCTCCTGAGTGCTGGTAGTAAAGGCATTTCTCATTACTGCCTAGCTGAGATTTTCCTTTTTAATTGGCAGATTTAACTGTACTTTTTTCTTGTGGTTTGTTTGTCTTCCTCAAATTAAATAAACAAAGCCATTTATTGTCAAATTGGCACTTTTTGTTGTTTGCGTGAGACAGGGTCTTACTATTTAGCCTTGGGTAGCCTGGAACTCATTATATATACCTGGCTGTTCTTGAACTTGTAGAGCTCTGTCTGCTTCCCCTCCTGAGTGCTGAGTGTAAAAGGATTAGCTATTCGAAGTTAATGCATATTTTGTTTATATCTTTATCAAAATATTTAGTCTATGCTTTCAGATGAATCACTAGGTCAATATGTGACACTGGGGGTTTTCAGAAAGTTACATTAGCTGTGTATGGAGGCTCATGCCCATGCTCTCAGCAGTAGGGAGCAGAAGCAGAAGGATTGCAAGTTCTAGGCCAGCCCGGTCTAGGTAGGGAGGCCCTGCATAAAAAAAAAAAAAAAAAACCAACACCAAAATCGTTGCCTTATTTATTCTTCATTCTTCAATTGCAACCTCTATTTCTACCCATACTGTCTCTCCCCTCCTTCTTCCTTTATACTTTCATCAGTAGATTTTTTTTTTTTTTTTAAACTGGAGACACCATACTCCTGGATACATTACTGTGTTGCCAAAGTCTCTAAGAGCTTTATGACTAAATGAATTCAGGTTGTAAATAGGTAACATATTGTGATTACCAGGGCCTAGTCACCACACTTAGCCCATCAGGGGAAGCCTCACAGGTGTCCAGGGCTACACAGCTAAGATTAGACACATAAGCCTCCATATACCCCATAAGTCTGATATAAAATTTTTGGCCAGAATAAGTAATGATGATAAAAAACTCACAGTGATAAGTGCTAGCAATCAGTAAAATATGATATGGACAAAAAGTAGCTGGTGATATGGTATGATGCCATATGCCTATAATCCCAGTTTGGAAGACTGGGGCAGAAGGATCAAAAGTTTAAGGCCAGCTTAAGTTCATAGAATGACCCTTAAAAAAAAAAAAAAAAACCTAACCAACTCCTCCCTCTAAGCCAGGGCTACACAGAGAAAGCCTGTCTCAATAATAATAATGAAGAAGAAGAAAAGGAAAATTGAGGCATCCCTCCCCCACCCCCTGAAAACACTTTCCTGAAAAATCAGAAATCCTGGAATAATTCTGATAATTCTGATTTTAAGATGCTTATATTCATACCATTATTGGAGTTATAATAAAGTCTCGCTGTTTTCTGTATTAAGATGGTGGAGTCACTTAGAATAAGGAACGTGTTTGGATCCTAAAAGAGTGCAGACTAACCAACATTTTCTGTTTTTTCCATCCATCGTGGGTGAAGGACCTTGAAGCAGCCTATCACATTACAGATATCCATGATGCTTTGGCACTGTCCGAAGTGGGGAGTGACAGGAAGTTGTTCTTGTTTGGAACTCAGGTGACTGGGAATGGCTCAGAGATACCCACTACCATGCAAGATGCCAAAGACCTTATCGCACATCTGGCCACAAATACGTAGAAGTGACTAGGACCCGGCCCTACTCAACTCACCATCAAACCATCACCATAAAGGAATGAATGGCAGGCTTAAGCCAAAGGTTTCCAATTTCAATAAAAAATAAGCCATTTCCTATTCTTTTAATGCAAAGCGTATATACGAAGAACTCAAATTCACTAAGACCTTTTTTTTTCTTTTTTTTTTTTTTAGATTTTTAACTTTAAATTTTGTTTTGAGGGAAGTTTACATTTTTGTTTGATTTTGGTGCTGAGAGGTGAACCCTGGGCCTCACATGCTTGCCATTGAACATGGGGCTGTATCAAAAAACCTGGATTACTCAAAAGTAAAAGTTGTCTTACCAAGCCTTCATCCCACATACGGTTTTTACCTTTTGTGTGTATGTTCATTTGCATACACGTGAGGTCAAAAGATGATTTTAGTGTCCTTTCTCAGGAACTATAAATCTTGTATGGTCTTTTGTTTTTTTGTAGTTTGCATGGATCAAACCCACATACCCATGCTTGCACAGGAAGTACTTTATTCCTGTCCGGTTCTGTCCGGTCCTGTCCGATCCGGTGATACTCCCCCATCCCCACCTCGCTGACCATGTCCTCCATGTGTGGTTCATCAATAGCAATAGATTTTTTATTTATTTATATTTTTTTGAGGCAGGGTTTCTCTGTGTACCCTTGGCCGTCCTGGACTTGCTCTGTAGACCAGGCTGGCCTCGAACTCACACGGCTAATAGCGATAAATTTACATAAAAACATTTAAATAAACTTTTTCTTTTTGAGAAAAATGCAGGTGTTGTTCCTTTAAATGGACCCACTTAACACTGCAGGCGGAACTACCAGGAAAGGGCAGTGAGGATGAGCACTCCCAAGCCGGCAAATAGAACTTACCCGTAGGCAGGAAGAGACAGGAGGCTTGTCTATGCCAGCCTGATACACCAGATGAGACACAGAGTGGAAATGTATCTTTAAGATTTCTTGTTTCTTTTGCGGAGAGAGAAGCTTTCTTCGCTAGCTTTGTCTCTTGAGACAAGACCTTACCACGTGACCCTACAGTGCCCCTGAGGCAGCCTCCTGGGTGCTGTGTGTGCCACCATTCAGGGTTGTTATGTTTTTTTTTTTCTTTGTTTGCAGTTGTTGTAAATAAAATGGTGTTAGGCTAAATAATGTTATGTATTATTTGCCCTATGATTATCACAGTGGTATTATTTAACCCGCTATCACAATAAGACACAGACACCTGTTAAATTTTATAATTGCTTTATTTACTTTGGGCTGGGCAGAGGTTTCACCTATGCTGTCTCAATAACCTCACCATCCACCTCCCAGCCCCCATCCAATGTCATCTGCCTTAACCATCCCTATCTGGGCTACCTTCCACCCATAATCTTATAAATACTTGCCTGTATTCTTCATCTGGCCCTTCCCACGCCATTATTGGAGTCCTTCCTCCTGGCCCACACGGTTCCTTCTCCACGCTAACCCATCATAGTGACCTCCTCCCTCCTCTTTTCTTGTCAGTTTATGTGTTCCCAAAGCCCTGGAATCTTAGCCACGCCTACCCCCTTCTGCCCTGCTCCGGTTTTAAGGCCTTTTAATCAACCAATTAGGTGTAATGTCTTAAGCAGGTTTACACAACAAGGACAGGTATATCTGGGCAGTGACCAGATCTTGAGGTCCAGTAATAGCATTAAAATACAAGCATCAGACCAACCCCCAACAGTTTGCTTTTTGTTTTTTAAGATTTATGTATTTTGGGGCTTGAAGGATGGTTAAGAGGTTAAGAGCACTAGCTGCTTTTCCAGAGGTCCTGAGTTCAATTCCCAGTCAAACGCATGGTGGCTCGTAACCATCTATAATGAGATCTGCTGACCTTTTCTGGCGTGCAGGTGTACATGTAGATAGAACATTGTATACATAAAAGCTGAATTTACTAGATAATAAAATAAAAAATCATTTATGTATTTCATGTATATTAGTGCTTTGTCTACATGTACAACTACATTTCAGAAGAGGGCATGTCTGCATGTACAACTACATTCCAGAAGAGGGCACTAGATCTCATTATAGACGGTTGTAAGCCACCATGCGGTTGCTGGGAATTGAACTCAGGACCTCTGGAAAAGCAGCTAGTGCTCTTAACCACTGAGCCATCTCTCTAGCCCTGTTAGCGATGTTTTGTAAAAGCAATAGATCTACTTACCTGCAGCACAGTAAGTCCAATTTGCAATTGTAATGCTTTGCTTTAATTTACTAATGTGTAAATGTATTTGAAAAGAGAATTTGGCCTGTACATCCTTTCAAAATTAATCTCTGACAAAATAACCAAATTTGGTAAAGATGATAGCCCTGATCATAGCACACAGTTGTCTCTGCCACACTTAGGTTACAATCATAATGTAACTTAGGTATGTGTCTTAGTTGGGGTTTCTGTTACTGTGACAAACATCATGACTAAAGGCCATGTGGAGAGGAAAGGGTTTATTTCATCTTAAGCTTATAGTCATCCAGGGAAGTCAGGGCAGCAGGCAGGCACTGATGGCAGAAGCCATGGAAGGGTCTTGCTCCCCATAGTTTGCTGGGACTGTTTTCTTTTACAGCTCAGGATCACCCGCTGAGGCGTGGCATTGTCCACAGCTGCCCTGAGGCCTCCTATGCCAAGTATAAATCAAAGAAACACTCTGCAGCCTTTCCTACAGGCCCATCTGGTGGACACAATTTCTTCACTGATGTTCTCTCTTCCCAAATGACTCTAACTTGTGTCAAGTTGACATAACACTAGCCAGCACGGGACATATGCACTGAAATCATGTTCCTCCTCTGAGAAGCCAGAGTGAGTGCCTTCCTCATGATCAGTGCTGAGTGTCATGTTTATCAGTATCCTATTCACAGGTATCAGATGTGTAAACATCAAAGCTCCTCCTCTCTGGCATGGAAGCTGGATTTCACATTGATTCACAGTTACTGGAAACCTGGGTTTCTCTGTACTGGAGATGTCTCAGGCTAGTGGCAGACATATGTCTCAGGGGCTTTAGGAGAAAAGAAGCTCAGCCAAGCCATTGTGTTGTCAAAGGGGCTGCCTGGCTGATAACTTTTCTGGCAGGCCTCATGAGGTGACATTCCTTATCTTGGAGAACTTGGGGTCTATTGCCAGCCTTCCAAACTTAGAAAACACAGATTCAGTCAAAACACCAGCTGCACGTGCCATTTTTGCTTATTCTCTTTATAAACATTTATTTGGCACCGTTTTAGTGCCAGAACTTTGTTTGAAGCAGCAGAAATTTAACCCACATTTGTCTGTACCAGAAAAAGGGGGCTAGGGGCTAGCACCAAGCTTGGGAAGCTAGTCCTACCCAGACCTGGGCACGGGAGGGCTAATGTGGGGGTTCACAGGTAAGAACTGTCTCTCCATCATTTGGCCCTGCTAAACCCTGCTTGGGTCCATCCTCGGATTCTTGTTTCACCATCTGGGTAGCGAAATTGCTGTCAACACCAAGCCAATACCATTCCCATAACCCATAGTTGCTAGGTAAAATATGCCTTCTTCCCTACAGCAAATCTCATTGAGGAGGTCTCATTGGTTCTTCTTAGGTCTCACCCTCATCCCTGTGGCCAGGGACAAGGTTGTCTCCTTCAAGCTGCATGGAATGAACTCTCACAGAGGCAGGTGTCGTGCCTTCAGGAAAAGAGCCAAGGGGGGATAGGCGGGAACCAAACTGAAGTAGTGACTAGAGTTTAAACGTTTTGGGGGAGCCCTTAAAGAGTCATTGTACAGTTCTTCATGTTAATAGTAAAATGAGTTTGGAGCTGTTGGGGTGGCTCAGGACAACCTGAGTTCTATCCCTGCGAGGAGAGGACCGGTCACCTCCCCACCTGTGCACTGTGGCGGTGTGCATGCACTCCTACTTTGTGTGAGCCTAGTTCCTGAGGCGGCCAGAAGAGGGTGCCAGATTCCCTGGAACTGGAGTACAGTCCCTGTGCGTCCTCTGCAAGAACAGCAAGTAGTCTTTAAAAATTATGTATTTAAAAATTGTTAAGTGTATGTGTGTGTGTGTATACACACCACATGTATGCAGGAGCCTGCAATAATCCAAGAAGTGTTGAATTCTTTGGAAATGGAGTTAAAGACTGTTGTGAGCTACCATGTGGAGGCTAGGAACCAAATCCAGGTCCTCTGTAAGAGCAATAAATGCTCTTAACCACTGAACCATCTTTCCAGGGCCATAAGTGGTCATAACTGCTGAACCATCTTACTCCAGCCCCCAAAATGTAAATATATTTTTAAAAATGAGTTAGAATGAGGCTCCTAGTTCCATTCCAGATAACTTCCTGTTTTCTTTAATTTTCTATAGGACAGTAAATCCATGAAGTACCCAATATTGTGTAAATGGTGTCTTTAACTGTATATATTTAACAGATGAATTTTTTTTAACAGTTTTAGTTTCTTCTTCTGTCATAAACACATGACAGAAACCCCATCAATTCTGCCCTTCTTTCTCATACTATTTTGGCTATAAAAACCAGCACTTTCCAAGCCTTCTGACACATTCCACACAGATGGGGAGGCTGAAAAGATGGCTCCCATTTCAGTTTCCAGCTCCTCTGGCAGTCCTAACTGCCTGCAGTTCCAGCTCAAGGGGACCTGAGGCCCTCTTCTGGATTCCACGGATAGCAATACTGCACACACCTGCAGACACACACAAACACACAATCAAAAAAGTGGGGCGTGGGGAAGGAGAGAAAAGAGAAAGGGGTGAGAAAGAGATACAAGGCTACAAAAATTGTATATTTCACAAGTATCACTGTGAACGATGAACACAGTTGTGCTATTCACAAGATTAATTACATGATTAATAGGACTAACTTTATCTGTAATGATACAGTCTAGGGGTCCTGAAATGACACAGTCTAAGGGGGTCTTGGTCAAGTTCCTTTTCTCCACCAGTTATAGAATTAACAGGCAGGAAAATTTGCAGTGCAACAGGCAGCAGGAGAGAAACCCCACGCACCATGGACTGAATCAGCAGCTGCAGAAAGGTGTTTATTGGGGATGAGAGAACACACACTTGCAGCAGACACACGAAGAAATGACCCTCTGCAGAGGGGGATTTGGGACTGTGTTTTTGTTTTGTTTCTGTTGGGGGGGGGTGTTTTTGGTTTGGTGTGGTTTGGTATTTCGAGATAGGGTTTCTCTGTGTAGCCTTGGCTGTCCTAGGCTCACTTTGTAGACCAGAATGGCCTCGAACTCACAGAAATCTGGGATTACAGGCGTGTGCCACAGCACCCATCCGGGCAGCGGTTTTTAGGCCTCAGGAAATTCTTCCTTCCCTAATTCAGGGTTGGTGGGTTTGAAGAATGCATGGATAGTTGATTGGCCCAGAACCGTGACAAGTCTGTAGCAGGCCTTGAACTTGTTGACCCAGTCCATTATCAGAGCGCCTGCTGGTGAGGGACAAAGCCCACAAAGCCTTTTAAAATGGCCATGCTTTTGCCTCAAGTCCGGAGGGTGAGGACCAAGCCGGCCATCTTGGAAATCCACCACCTTTATTAAATGTCCTACTGATGTCGATCTCCCCTTCACAACCTTCATTCCGACTGCTGAAATCTCACTAGAAACCTTAGCGATGGGGGAGGCCTTACAAGTCTCCTATCCACTCCCAGCCTCGGCGAAGAGTCGGTGTGGGGGAAACGCCGGAAACCTAAACCGGTCAAGAAGCAGAGGTGCCGCGGGTTGTTGAGTGGGGAGCACCGCGTCTCCATGGCAGCCGGTGACCGACGAGCTGAGACACGGGCAGGGCGGGGCCGGGCGGCGGGGGCGGGGCTGAGTCTGGGGGCCGGCCGCGGGCGGGCCGGAATCTCCACGCAGCAGACGGCGCCAGGGCGGCTGGCCGGAGCGTCTAGCGGAAATGGAGGAGAGATCGTCCTCCCTTGGATCCTGCGAGTTGACTGATGAGCGCAACACCGCGACCAACTCTGACGATTGCCAGAAGCCCCTTTTGCTCACGTTCCTGGATGTGGAGAACGAGCCTGAGGGGGGAGAGTTAGGGATCGAGGAGGAAGGACAGGAGGACGACGGTGGGTACGAAGTGCCCCAGATTCAGGAAGCCCCGGAGCCCTCCCCACCCTTCAAGTTCCTCGAGTACAGTGAATCCGTCCTGTTCCGCAAGGACAGTGAGTCCTTCCAGCCCCCAAGGGCTAGCCAGCCTGTTCAGCCGCCGCCGGTCCGCAGGGATGAAAAAGAAGACTTGCCTCCCAACGCAGTGCTTACGACCTCTCCATCTTTGTTGGCCGGCTACTTCCCACGGCTCCGGCTGGGTTCCTTGAGCGGTAGGTCCCCCCTACCCCCCGCGGAAATCCATCCATCTAGAACTTAGCAAGGTCCGTGTTTAAAGACAGTGACCCTTGTGCCGTCTACCCGCCCCTCTTTGCACTGCGAGGACTCCAGTGGGAAGTGGACACCCTGATCGTGACGGACCCGCATCACCATTTCCGGGACGGGAACCTAGGCCAGCGCTCTAGCCCGGAAGCCCTTCTTAATCCTTCGAGATTTAGTACGCCGTTGAATCCTGCTGGGTCACACCTCGACTGTTCCTCACTATTTTCGCTCGAGACTTTTGTTGTTGTTGTTTTGTATAATTCCTCTTACTCTTCAACTAAAGACAGATCCTCGAAGGGAGGATGTTTTTTGTCCGTGTTCGGCGCATGGGCCCAGAGGAAATCAAACCTTCAGGGAACAAGTACTGAACAGTGCATGTAACTGTTTATCATCTGGTCCGTCCTTCTCACACTTACACCGTAACGAGGCGATGCGAAGTGAATAGAAACATCCTTGCTTTTACCACTTCCGCTCACTTCCAGCAAGCAGTCACCAGAGACTGCTTGCCGTGGACCTGCAATCCCATGCGCTCGCTGGGGTTGCTTCGCACCTGGCCTCAGTTCTGTGGTTTACCCCTGCAGTCGCCTCCTTCCTTCGACCTCTCCCGGTCCTTCACCACCTCTAGCTGGCCACCCAACTAATGCAGATCTCCAACCCCGATAAAGCCCAGTAACCCACATACCTCTAGCTGTTGACTCTTGCTATGTGGAATTGCATTGCTGGGATAGTTGATTTTACTTTCATTTCATTACTACAAGTTTTGATTGGTCCTGGGCACTTTTATTTATTGAGTAAGATGGATTTCCTCAGCTCTGACACGACGAAGCGCATTCTTTATTCTCCTCCAGCCTGCACACTTTTCTCCTTCACCCAATGAAAGACTTCACCTCACACTTTTCCAAGAAACAGAAAACAATCGGTCACGAATTTATTTAATTCCTTATCCCCAGTGTATCGGCCTCCCAAAGCTCATGAAGTCTGCCTTCTCTCAACTTTCAGGAGAGAATTGTACTTGTTTTTATGAAAGCCACATTCTCCGCCTACGCCCCAGATTCTACTTGTCTGCTCAAGAACTCTGTTCTTAAAACTGTCTCCACTCCGTTCTAGCACCAGTTTCTCCTTTTCTAATGAAACAGTCCCATGAGCAAACACAGACTCTTATCTCGAAATAACTTTCAATCGTATGCCTTCTTTAGCACCCTCATCCCTGGCCCGTTTCCTCCCCTCAGTCCCTTCTTGGCTGCTTGCATAGGTCTCTTTTATTTCTTCATCAGAAGTGCTCTCGTGTACCCCCATCCCTGTCCTGTGTGAGGGGGCCTTGGTATCCCTAGGCATGAGCCACTGGACTTCTCGTTTTGATGTCTTCATTGGAAAGATTTTAGCTTTTGCCCCAGCTTAGGTTCTTCCTCACACTAGCACCTTCCCGCTGCTGAGCCATTTCAGAATCGTTTCTAGGCACACACTCCAGCTGTGTCCTACATTTTGAGTTCATTCCTTTGTCTCCTTCTGCCAAAATGTAGCACAGAAAGGACCATCGATTCTGTTGACGCTTGATTATATGCAACTGCTACTTTATGCTCTCCTGTCTCTCCTTCCCTATGACCCATGGTCCATATTTATTTATTTATTTATTTATTTATTTTGCTACACCATATGTCAGTAGTGTGCTCTCTTTCTGAAAGTCCCAGGCTGGCCTTGACTGGGGCCCTCCGGAAACTTCTTGGCACTGGAATTGTGTACATATTTTCCGGTAATAGAGGATACAAGAGGGAGATAGACAACTCTGTGAATGAATTGGTCTCTAAATTCATGACCTTGAAACCTCGAGTGGCCTCCTTAGCAATCCTAAACTACATTTCTAAATGCTTCAGGAATCAGCGCTGACTTTCCTTATTTCCCTGTACCTTTCTCTTCAACATCACTTAGACAGACAACTGAGGCTGGAGGGCGTAAGAGGGCTTGTTGTGTGAGTATGGGAACCTGAGTTCAGATCTCAGCACCCATGTCCTGAATGTGGCCGAAACCTCCTGTAAACTCTACTGCAGGGGGCAGGAAGAGCAGGCAGACAGAAGGATCCCCCGTTTCAGAGGAGTAAGGTGGAGAGGGATGAAACAGGACACCCAGCCATCCTCATATGAACTCCTTGAGCACTTGTAAAAACACACACTACACACTCTCTCTTTCACACACACATTTTTTTTTTCTCTGAACTCTATCACAATCCAGCACCTGTAAGTAACCCTTTCTCCAATCAGTGGTAGGCAAACTGTCTTTACGTCTATTAATGGCCATTCTTGCCTTCTATCTGTTTGATCTCATTTCATCTAACTTTAAATTTTTAAAAATTTCGTGTGGGTGTGCATGTGAATGGCGCATCATGAGGGCGTGCGTGTGTGCCAAGGTGATAGGGTGGAGTCAGAGCACAATTTTGTAGAGTCTGCCTGTCTCTGGGTTCTGGGGATTTAGGGTACTAGGTTTGCACAACAGTCACTTCACATCCTAAGCCACCTCAGCAGCCCCATCTAACCCCTCTCTGCTGCCTCATTTGGTTTCCTCTTTCCTAGACCATTCCCACTGGTATACAAATGTTATACAATTATTCCACCTGAAAACAATCACAGGCCTTCCTTTAGCCCTGGGAACCCTGCCTTTCCAGGTACCACTCTATTTCTCTTCTTGACTTAGAGGGGACAAAAAAAAAAAATCCTCAAAATAGTTAAAATAGTTGTCTAAAAGTCATGATTTCAGTTTCCTCTTTTGTGTCCTCTTGAGAACTAGCCAAACTAGGCTTTCATTCTCTCCAGTTAGGTGAAGCTGCTTCTGTTGAGGTCACAATGATTTCTGTCTTGCCCAGAGCAAGAACAAGCCTTTTATTTCACACATTCCTTCTTCTATCCCAGGAATCTGTCCTGCCTCCTGGAATATTAGTCTCCCTGTTGTCCTACCTCTTAGATTCTTCCTGACTCCATTTCCTTTGCTTGGAGCCTTCTCTTCCCAGCCTTTAGGTTGAACCTACTAATAGCTTAATCCTCTCACGTTCTTTTAGAATTCTTTTTTATTCTCTGTGTGATGTCATCAGTTCCATGGCTAAATTGCCAGTAGCTTCTCAAACTAGGCATAGCTTTAACTTCTCCTAGAACTCAGATATCTAGCTTCCCTTCTTGACTAGCTACAAGAAGCTCAATGTGGCAAAACAAACAAACAAAACACAAAAAAACAAGACAAAACAAAAATAAAAACATTAAAATATGGCTCTAAACAAAACAAAAATAAAAACATGGCTCTAAACCACTAACAAATCCTAACTCAGAACTATACCCTATGACTCTTTCTTAGTATTGGAATTATTGTATGTAGTTTTTATCTCTTGCCTAGCTGAGCACAATATCCTCCAGTTCCTTGTTTACCCAGGGGTGGGGGAAGGGTCCTCTAGAATATGTATTACATGCAGATTTCCCACTCTCAACCTCCCGGACGTCTAACGAGGGGGTTTACAGAGTCTCACCGTTAACCTGAGTTTGGATGTTGAGATAAGTTTTCATGCAATCCAGGCTGGCTTTAAACTCATTGTGTTGCAGAGAGTGGCCTTAACCTTTTCATTCTCTTGCTGCCTCCCCCACAGTGCTTGGGATTGCACGCCTGGGCTGCTGTCCTTGGTTTATGGGGGGCTGGGGATGGAAGCCGGGGCTCTGTGCAGGATAAGTGCACTTTCTCTCTTTGGAGCTACATCTACAGCTCACTAACCCTGATCTTAAAGGTGACCTGACCTGTCCCTAACCTTAAGGACTTCCACTCTGCTTATCATCTTTGCTCTTGAGGCACATGGGCGGGTCACTTAGACTCAGTTCACTTTTTCTTCTGCTAGAACACTCTCAGCATAAGTATTTGTTCCCTCCCAATACCAAAAATAACAGTCTTCGACCTGCTAATTTTTTAAAAAACATGTATCCAACTCTCATATGTGTCTCTGTGATTAGTTCTTTACGTTATTTCTCTCAGGCAGGTAAATCTTAATCGGTTTTGTTGGATGAAGAAACCATTGACTTCAGTGTCATAAAAGCCAATGGGTCTTTTTGTCTCTTGGCAGCATTTTGTACACTTGGGTAGTCCCTTGAAACATAGACCTCATGTCCTGTGGGACAGCACACCCTAGTTTGTTCCTTGGCTTTGTTCACTGACTCCTCCCTATGTTCCCAATTTTAACATGCACCTTCCTGATGCTATGTTTTGTTTACTTAGAGACAAAAATCTCAGTATGTAACTGAGTCTGACCTGAATTCATGATCCTCCTGCCTCAGTTTCCTGAAGGCTGAGATTACAAGTGTGTGCCACTAAGGTATTTTTTTTTTTTCTGGAGTTGGAAATGGAAGGGTTCTTGCAATAAATGTGCTATGCTTGAAACCTAGATGGTGACAATGTCAGAATTTATTGAGTAAAAATAAACTTATGATTGATGTTTCATTGGTTGGACTTGCCAAGTCATCCCAGTTTCCCCTTATAGGTGGCCATTGGCAAGTACACCTTCTTCTTCCTGCTCCTCCTCCTCTTCCTCTCCTTCCTTTCTTTCCTCATTTCGTCATGCTTGCATCAGGCAGCAGGTGACTTTACCTCTTGAACTATCTTGCCAGCTCTATAATATATTTCCTAATGGAAGTCTTCATTCCCTCCCAACTCTGTCCCTCCTTCTGTGTTTTCCACCTAAGAAAAATGGCATCCAGTTGCTCATGCTAAAACAATCTCCTGTTCTTCCCAGATCCCCCCCTTTCTCGAAAACAAACACAATTCAGCCAAAGAAAGTTCTGTTAGTTTGATGGAGCAGTTCCTGAAATCATTCATCTCACCTGCTAACAAAATCTAGCTCAGGTTATTTCTCACCTGGATTTCGGCTTTGCCTTCTGCAATAGTTTTCTTATTTTTTCTCTCATGCTCTGAAAGCTCATTGCTACCCCAGCTAGAGTAGGTATTTAAAAACCCAAGTGGCATCCTGTTTTCTTAGTCTTTCCTGTGGCTTCTCATTGCTCTGAGAGTCAACTCTACAGCTCCTCCTGTTCCCAGGCTCCATCCCCTCCTACCCCCCATTATCCCTCCTCTTCTCTCCTTCACTCCACCTGCTTTCTTGCCCTGCTGCAGAGTCTGCCCCATTGGTGTTCCCCACTGGAATGCTTGCTTGTCCAGGATCATCTCACAGTCAGCTTCTGGTATTCAGGTCATGTATATACCAAGTATACTTAGGCATTATTTACATAAGTAATATAAACACGAGGCTGTGTTTAGTCAGCATTTTACCATGTTGCTG